CCTTTAGTGTTTTTTTTTCTTTCTTTTTTTTTGTAATGAATGTGAGCACTATCGAGACTTTATGTTGTGTCTGGTAGTTATCAATGTTACATTTTAATCCCTGGTTTACACTAAATACTACACAAATGCTCTTTACTTGTATCTGTATTCCTTTTTCAATATCTGTAAGGAGTGTATTGCTTTCTAATATTTAAATGTAAAACATTGTAATTGATAGACAGTAAAATCCCAAAATGTTGTTTATTAGAACAATTAAATATTACAAGTATCAGCCCAGTTTGCTTACGTACTGAATTCAACAGTAAGACTCTAATACATCGAAATTGACTCCTATTTACAATCGAGATAAAGGAAAAACAGGTAAATAATGACTGGTAAGTAATTAACTGAGCACATTTAAACAAGACACTAAACCCAAATATCAACAAATATGTTCACTTTTTTAAATTTACAGGAAATATTTACAGTTGCCAGATTTTAAATACGGAAATTCTTAATTTAAAGCTCAAATCCTCTAAATAAAGAGGTGAATGGGATTCTGAGGATCACTACATTTCTGCTATTTCTGATTAGAATACAATTATACTGCTTTTGAATTTCGGGGAAAAAATGTGATAGTAAGCTAGAAGTGAAGCTAATTTAAAACGTTCCTGGCAAAGAAATTGAAATTCACTAGAAGAAAGTTACAACAACAGTAACACAGAAAAAAAGTATTATTCTGACAATTCTTGATCTTTATTTCTTTTATTAACAGCCTCTAATCAGCAGTTATGATGTGGCTTCATAAAAATTCAGCAGTTTGTTTTTCAAAAAAATTGAACTGGGATGCAAGAGCTGCCAGCATGTGACAAAACAAGCCATAGCCAAATAAATAAATAAAATAAATGACAGCCCCTGCTTCTGCTTAGGCAAAATTACCTAAGCCTGCTAACAAGATTAAAACAATTTTCTTTATCCTTAAATAGAGCTGCCATATTTAGCGAGAGTTTATGTTTAACATTCACTCTCCCTGGGAGAGCTGCCAGGGTTGAGAGCCATGAGAGGAGGAGCTTTGTGCTGAAAAGTGCCAGGGCATCTGGGATAAAAAAAAAAAAAAAAAAAAAAAAAAAAAAAAAAAAAAAAAAAAAAAAAGCTGAAGGGAAACCAGGGAGCTGCTTTCTGCAGAACAGTTGAATGACCTTTTCTAAAATGCTGCCACCCGCCTGCCACTGAAACACAGTCTGGCTAATTAAAGTTTCAGTGGCATTGAATTTTCACTAGCATAGCAAACCTCAGGCAACCTTGGGGGCTCTAAGAAGGAAAGATGGGCAATATAAGACAAGAGAGAGGAGAAAGACCCAAAGCAGGAACTGAAGAGGAGGACAGCCACTAGACAACAGCATGAAAAAATCCAAGCATAAAAAAAAGCATAAAAAAAGAAAAAGTAAACCTCTTTGCTTCTCATAATACAGTGGAGAGAAACCCCATATTAAAATGCAAATCTACAATACTACAGTATTTTACATAAGCTCTGATGTGGTTTGACCTTTCAAACTGTGCTGCTAAAAATGTTCAAGATCAGACAGAATTAGAAATCAAACTGAAACTGTCCAACTGTATACAGCCGGGTGAATGCAGTTAGAAAGAGCTAAACGAGAGATATCCAATGTCAAAACGCTGAGTGCTTTTCCAAATCTATTGGGCTGCCTCTCAGCCTAATGGAATCTTGATGGGTGAGTTTCAAGAATAAATGCATGACTTATGACACGACTACTGGGAGCATTACCCAATATACTGGACAGCATGTTTCTGTCTCCAAAGCATCATTGAATAATTGGTCACATTTGACCAGGACATTTCTGGAAAAACGGCCAAGTAAAGGCTATGCAACCAGACAGATTCACTCAAATCCTGCATTTCACAATCTGCTGGCCTTGTCTGCATTAATGATCTTGACCTCCTTTTCACCATGTTGGGAGTGAAAAAAGACTTAATGAAGCTGAACAAAGCTGCTTGTGTGTGTGTGTGAGACTGTGCTTGAGAGACAGAGATACAGGAGAACGGAAGGCCCATGTGACTTTGTGTTACAGCTTGATGAGGGCTTGCTCTGTGGTTCCTGGGGGATGTGGTCCAATCTAGACTTTATTAGGCCTCACTGATCTGTGTGCAGGAAGCTGTGTGCTTGCCTTCTTTATCAAGAGCATTCACTTGAGTTTCTAAGAACTTCTTTGTGTGGAACTTTACAATGCACTCAGTTGGTAACAGCTTAATAATGCATGCAAGGTATGGACCTTTTTATGCTTCAGCCTGCTCATAAGAGGTGAACTGCTATTTCTGTTAAAATTATTTGTGTATACAAAGTACTAATAGTAATTTCTCCATGCATTAATAAAACTTTTCTCAAACAAAACTGGTATTACTGGTTGAATATTATCTTAAAACGTTCAGTGATAAATAAATTTAGACATTTAGTCCTCTATTAAGCATGACTTATGTAGGTACTATATTTAATGCAAGCAAACCACTTTAAAATGTTGCAAAAAGGAAAACAAACATTTATTAGCAAAAACCATGAAAGCAATGTCAGAGAGTGGCTATAGCCCTTGACCCTGGAGGAAAACTACCTGCAAAAAATGTAAAATAACTAAGAAAGAGCTAAAATATCAGAGTAAGCAGCAAGTACAAAATGTGGCCTGTTGTTGAGTCAATTTACAACATCATACAGGCTGGCTGACTCTAGGCTGAAGGACATTTAGGAAAAGATAACGCACCTACCATCCCTAATTTTAACATTCAAATCTTTAGGACTAGTTTAATGATAGGGTTTATGTTACCTGAGTCAGATTAAGCAATGAATATTTTGGATGTATTTAGCCTATCTATCAGTTGTTTTTATCTGACAAACCTATTTTCAAAAGGGCATTATATAAGTATCATTATAACTTTACAGATTAGGTGTAAAAAGGTTTCTATTTCCAATAACAATTTGGACTTGTGAGGGAAAAATGCAGAAGCTACATCTTTTCCATCACATGATAATAAAAAGATGTACGTGCAGAAGACGTCTAATGTGCTTTGAAAAATAAGAACATCAATTTAATGAATACATTTTTTAACATAAAGTAGTTTTTTGATATTCTGACAACACCAGACCACATAAATATTTACCTCTGGTTACAATGTCAGCGTTGACACTAAAATATTCTGCACCAATGGGAATAGTAGGCTGAAGTTACAGAGACAGAATTCAGGCATTGGTAGACCTTAGTAGCTCAGTGAAAGAGCTGAGAAATGTTTTTTTGTTTTTTTTCTCAGTGTTATATTATAAAAGTCAAATGAGTGTAAACCAGAGATGGGGGGACTCGAGTCAATGACTTGACTCTAGTCTGACTCGAGTCGCCAGATTTGTGACTTAAGACTTGCTTGTTAAGAATTATCAAAAGACTTGACTTGACTTTGACTTGCCCTTCATGACCTACAAATTGACTTGACTTGAGTCATAGGACTTGCCAAATCACTGCAATTGTGTTAATTCTATTATAATTATTAGCAAATGAATTATTGCTTTTTTTGCCTGAGTGCTCCTGGCTGACCTGCAGCATATCAGCAAACCTGGCAACCAATCTTCCACGCAAAGTAAAGAGGGGAATACCTACGTCAGACTAATGAGTGATCAGTAAAGACGGAAGCCACTCTCCTAGCAGAAATCATGTATTTTGGCTACTGTATAAAGACTACACAACAACACAAAATGAAAAAGTTGAAGAATGTTGAAGATACTGAAAGTTGCAAGCGCTATATTGATAAAATCGACAAAACATTGACTGTAAAATGGGTTTAGTGAAATTTGGGGGAAAAAAGACTTGACTTTTTACTTTATGACTAAACCTACGCTTGGACTTGACTTGCTTGGTCCTCCTGACTCGGGACTTGCTTGAGAATTGATTCCTGATACTTGGGACTCACTTGAGACTTGCATGTATTGGATTTTCTCCCATCTCTGGTGTAAACATCTGGCAATATTTTGAGCTTTGTACCAAGGAGGCAAAAGGACATAGAAGCAATGAGGTTTGAAGGAGGTTTCTTCTTTTAATCTGAACACATAATTTAAAGGTTTGCTAATGCCAGTGAGCATGGGTCTGCCAATAACATTACCTTCTTTAAGCCAGCTGAACAGCATTTTTCATTGACCAATGAAAAAGTTAGAAGTTTCTAACCGATGTCACAAAGGATTTGGAATCTTTATAAGGAAATGCCTAATCCTAACTAACATGATCTCTCTCATATCGACTTCTGAAAGGATAACAATGTAAGCTTTTAAAAAAAAGGGGGGAAAAAAAGCCTAAACAATAAAAAGCCTAAACATTAACTCATTGTATGAGTTAATGTTTCTTTCAGTAAAAGGGATGTTACAATCTTAGATTAATACATTTGCCTAAAGTTTAAACTCATTAAGTAGAAATAATTTTGGTTCCTACTTTTTGTTAGTTAGAATAAACTACAAACTGTTTTCAACCTGGTCTGGTGAAAATTATTAAGTTCATATCTCTGTTATCATTACAACTTTTGTACATTTGAATATTAATGAACATTTAAAAATGTATTCATTGATTCATTTTGCGTCATGCTTATCCCTGCTGGGGTTGCAAGGGGTGCTGCTGTCTATCTCCAGCTGTTTATGGAAAAGAGGCAGGGTACACACGGAACAGGTTGCCAGTCCATCACAGGGCAACTCAGAGACAAACAGGACAAACAACCATTCACACACACTCACACCTAGGGAGAATTTAGAGAAGCCAATGAACCTAAGATGTTTAAATTTAAATTCAATATTTTATTGTTTTAATAATCTAGCTGCCCTGATACCCTCTTGACAATCTCTGTTTTAAAGAAAGTATTTAGCAATAATTGAATGAGCCTGAATAAATAATGTATCCAACAAAATGAGGATTACATCTGTGATATAGAGGCATTTGTGATTGGAGAGTTTGTGTCCAGGTTTGATTTCTTTGTGTACTCACGGTTGGCAAAGCTTGATGAGGTCCTGGTCGGTGGTTCCAGGGGGGAGACCACGAATATACAGGTTGGTCTTACTGAGCTGCTCCGCCCCTCCCTGGCTGCAGCTGTTGGTGCTGGGGCTGGGAGGAGCCATAGGATGAGGGGGTGGAGCATAGGGCTGCTGGAAAAGACAAAACACAATAACAACTTAGTATAACATGCTGAAAAATAAAATGTGATAGCAGAAAACATGGCGACTACTATGTCATGAGTGACAACAGCCTAGGTGAGAGCTGAAAATCAGATGTGAGCTATAAGGAAAAATGTAACATTTGAGAAACAGCAGACACTATCGATTCAGTATCACTAAGATGAAGAAACAAAATCTTAAAGGAGTCTTGACATGAAAAGGAGGGGTTATAATATCAGTAACTGTACGAGATAAAGAGACAACAGGTAATAATGACAACAATTACAATAACATCTTTATATTGGGGAGTGAAAATAAAATTGCTCTGCACAATAACAAAGGTTCAAAAATGGCTTTAATGTTAGATCATGACTGCAGTATATGACTTTTTTTCCACTTCACTTCATTTTGTTTTAAATAAACATTTCACTGAGAGGGCTCACACAAATTAGACTTCATATGGCTTCCAGCAGCTTATAAACAGTTTTAAGTGATGGCAAGCTTCTACTCTCTACTAAAATTGCCAGAACCAATTTCATTACACTGTGAAACAATTTTCACCTCCAAGGGTGTGAGATCCCGATGCAATAATGCACTCCAGTGTATTTTATAACCATCTACATATGAATATCTTTTTTTCAGTGTAATCCTCAGCTCACAACAGTTATTCAGAATTTGATTCCATCTTTTCACTCCTCCTCATCCCCGGCTCCTTTTTATTTGCTTGTTCTGTTTGTGTAGATTTATGGCACAGGAGTCAGGGCCCCCTGCTCACAGACCATTTATATCTCTATTGCAGGGACACTGCACCTAATGACAGAGAGGGAGTGCTAAAGCCCTGTGGGCATGAATTGAGGCAGGGGCTAAAAGAATGGAAAACAAAAAAACAGAAAACGAAGACAGAAAATTACAACATGTAATACAATGCAAAAAAAAAAGACTATTGTATGAAGCATAGGAGAGAAAAAATAACCTGGTAGAGAGTGTGGCTTAACAAAACTACCACCAGCAGTTCTACTTAACCAAGTTAACCCTCATCTTTCCAGAGGTGGAGCTCAAAACCTCAAAGTAAGCTGTGAAAACACACACATACACTCACGCCATTAGACCACCAATTTGCCCCACACGTTAACAGTGTCTGTTGGAGCATGGCTGATTTGATGCGCTATTTTAAGCCTGTGTGCCATGCCAGCGTGTCGACTCCCACTTCTCAGACAAAGAGCTGGGGTCCCTGGAGCGTGAAGAGGGAGCCACGTCCATCAATGGACAGCCAATTACCACGCTAGGCTAAATGGAACTGATGGGGAGTCAGTCTCTGTTCCATACTAACAATTACAATGTATGTTTGAAGTGACAAGAACACACATGGTGTGATAACAATAAAACACCTTTTCTACACATGTGTAAAATCAGCCTCCTGTAAGACAAATATTTATCATCTATAGAAAATCTAAAGAGAACTCCACATTATAGAATTTAATAATCCCTTCTAACTAACGTAAGAATTTGTGTGTCTCTAATTAAATACATTTTCTAGACAAAATTAAATGTTTTAGCCTATCATCTACCATTCAGTCTGTAGGTTAGTTACAGGAGTTCTAGACCTGTAAAACAATTTGTAAAGTGCAATTCAGAATGGCTGTACCACACATCTGCTGACTTTTACATCATCTAAGATTAATATGTATTAACACTCCTAAAGTCTATTTAAAAATGACACCATAATTATGCCAAGTAACATCATGCAAAGCCATGCATATGCTCCGTCTGCACTGATGAAATATCTACCTCAGCAAGGTAATGGAAAAAACAACAATATAAGCACCATAACATATTCTTTATATCATAAAAAAATAAAACAAGGTTAAGTGTGTTTCACTCTATGTAAATTTAGATTAGATTTACAGACAAGGAAATGTTGTATTGATGGCCACAATGTCTCCTCTTTTTGTGTCACTTTTTAATACAGGATTAACCGAAACTTAAATAAAATACGCTACACAATGATTAAACATTCCTATTAAAACATATAGTAAATATTCTCATGTTAACTTCCTTTCTTAGCAAATGAGCATAAGGACAAAGACACAAGCTTCTTAAAGACTTCAGCTAGACCTGTTCAGATTATTATATGCTCATATATATGCTCAATATCGAAAAATATGAGCTACTGGAAAGATAGAGACATATATTTAGTTGGAAACAATCAAAATGCAAAAGTAAAACATTGAACACTGATGAAAAGCATGTGCTATTATCTGCTTTTTTAAACCATTTATGAAGAAAACAGTCACATTTAATACATGGGAATAGTATCAAAATATTATTTTTAATAGTTAAAAAAAATACATGATGAAGGTACTCATATTTTCAATTCTTCTTTTTTAATTTGAATTTCCCTGTATGTGAAATTTGGACTTGGTTTCCTGCTCTTTGTTCTTAGGTGTTGCACCTAGTATAATTTTCGCAGTGCTTCTGCCTCAAGGTTTTTTTTTTGTTTTTCTTTCCATATACCGGTACTTAGACTTATCCATCTGGCACAGAAAATTATGGCGCATCCAAAGTCAGTTATAATCTATTATTTCCACACTCTGATGCTTGATTGAAAATCTGCAAAGTCATCCAATTGACTAAAAGTATGGAGTTGCTAACAAGTAATTGACTGAGTTGCTATTTTTGTTAATTAGTTGTGCAGAGTAACCCTAATAAAGTGACCAATGAGTCTGCTTTTTATGCATGACAGGACTCAATGATTTACAAAATAGTCTAGTTTCATTTGAGAGTCGCCCCTTTAGAGGATGTTTTAACACTGCCAGATCATTTGTTGGGGGAAAAGGAGCAGGGAGATGCACAGGCAACTGACCACAGACA